TGATTTCCATCTCTACTAGCATACGAGCATAAGCCACTCTTTGCCTTTTGGCTGTTAATGCATCAGTTGCAATAGGAACTCCCACATAGCTTGCTAGCTTTCCTAAGCTCTCAAGGTTCCAAAGACTCAAATGGAGTTCAGGAAATTGGATCCAAACAGGAATCTTACTGATATCCAAATTGTCAGGATCAAAATCTGGAGTCCACTGTTTCAAAATCAAAGGGTGCCCATTAAATGTCCAGCACCTCTCTAGCACCGCCTGCTTTGCGTTTCCATTACCAAAATCAAACAAGAAAACTCCATTTCGCAGCATAAATGCCTTAGGCACCTGGAATTCCCTCCACCTGTTATTCACGAAATTAGCAATATCCTTAAACTCAGGTTTAGATCCCAGAACATACCCAACAAGAGCATTCTCCCAAATCTTTGACCCTTTAACCCACTCATCCTCGGTAATAACCACAGCACCAGTTGGATCTTGAGGTTTTATGTATTGCAAATCCCATCCTTTACTGATATCCCTATTCCCTTCCACTACCGAAGCCCAACTACGCAGTGGCTTCTGCTTTAGGGATGGTTGAACTTCCCCTTTCTCCTTCTCAATCAGGTCACTCCACCGAGCACTAGGAGAAATCGCCGTACCGGATGTAGAACCAGCTTCCTTTTCCCCCGCAGGTTGCTTCATCTGGATGACAGAGGGCTGAGTCTCCGAGTGCACTCCCTTCTTTCCCTTCGCTGCTTTCCCTTCCACGGGGTCGGCCTCGTTCTTCCCCTTATCTGCTCTATCATCCCTGGAACAAGCATCAGATCTGCTTTTCCTCTGGCATTGCATCGAGACAGCTAGATCTAGCAAAATCCCTTCATCGTCCCCTTCTTTCTCCCCTAGATCTGGGCTCAAACGCCCCGATTTCTCAATTTCAAGACCCATCTGGTGAGGATTGCGAGCAGCAAGCTTCACGACCTCTGTTTGCTCTTTGTTGGTTTCCTCAACTGAGATGCTATTTTGCTCCCCATTATCATCTTTCAGATCTCTTGTTTTTGTTGCAGAACCACCCTTAGGCGGCGGATCTTTCTTTCTCGGCCGGCCTCTGCCCCCCATCTCCGGCGTTTCCAGCTAAACCACCACGCTCGCGAACGAGAGCATGGTTGACGGAGACAGGACGGGCAAGGATTTTACCCATTGCCATTTCGAGAACTCTGGTTCTCTCTTCGAGCTCGGTTGTCCGAGCAGGTTCTGTTGACCTTTCAGGTCGTTCACGCCGTGAATTGTACGGTCTAACAGGTCTTTGTCTTGTTCCTGTTGGAACTTGGAACTGTTCAGGCTGGGTTGCATACCCAGTTGGTGTTCTTTCATCATCTGTCTCACTTAGGTGATCCTGTTCGGCTCCCCCTACAAAAAGATTTCTTGGCATTGGCCTAAAATCATTCAAGCCGGGCTCAGATACATGAGTGTCCTCCTGTTCGTCCATTTCATTTCTTGGAGGGCGGCCTCCTGTAAAGGTATGAACCATATTATCTTTCAGCAAGTTAAGCCACATGACTTCTTGTTCGGGTTCCCACAGACGGCGCCAAATGTTTGGGCAGCTTCACAATCCAACACTGTTTAAGTCTTCAGCTGCTTCTACACCTGAAAATCCCGAGGATATTTCCTCGGGGAAAACACTCCAACGCTCAAGTCAGCAATACTCAATACTTTAGAGAGAGAGGCTCTCAAGGAGTAATTGCAGAGAGAGAAGCGTAGAGATTCATTACCTTTATCGGAGGTAGTTGGGGGTATTTATAGCCTCTTGGTGCTGACATACATCTGCACGTGTGAGCATCCTATTGGCCCACGTGGTGCTGGTCACGTGGGTATGCTTGTACTGATGTTCCTTCAGCTTGGGCTAAATGGTGGTAACCTAGGCCCATTATGCACAGCCCTGTTTGGGTGTTGGGCCTGTTGGGCCTATTCTAACAGGATCCCTCTCTTTTTTCTTTTGGTTTGCCGAGCGGCGCACATATATATATATATATATATAAAATTAACAACCCTTTATTCTTCTTAGCCCTAGTAGAACATGGGCTTTATTTTGGGCCAGCCCACAATACAAACAGGCCGCGTTTTATTTTCTTTCTCTTTTGCAATCTTCACAGCCTTATTGCCGCACATTCCACTGAAATTCTGTATTGATACTGAAGGAACTGGGTTGAGCTCCTAAAAGATGAATTGTAGCTCCGGTTCTTAGCTTTCCAACGCCTCAAGAATCATCTCAATCCCATGCCTGAAGAAAAAGATATGGTTAAATAACTAGAGCATGTGCAAATTATCACTTATTGAAAAATTAATTTCTATCTTAATTTTCACATACAAACAATGAAATTAATGCAAACCAATGTGAAGCTAAGTTACAAAGGACCCATAAAATTAAATTTTAAGCTCAAAAAGGGTAGATAAATGCATATCAAAATTAAACTCATCAATGTGCTCAAAGACTTAATAAATTCAGTTGTCCATTAAAGTAGATTATCTAAACTTGATTTAATCGGCTTATGCTGATAGTCAACCCAAGCAACAATTAAAGAGATAATAGTTTGAAACTTATAATCAATTTCTCTTTAATACTGTATTTGTCAAAAGATTTCAGTTTTTGATTGATCAAAAACAATAAAATAGTATAAATTAAACCAAACCTTGAATCCTAAACCTTCATATGATTGCTCTGATACCACATGTTGTAAATTTTAGGGATTGGTTGTAATTTTTAGGGATTATCATAAATAGAATTTAAGATATCAAGATCTAATAGAATAAATATATTGCGTCCTTTAAATTTCTATAATCAACACATTACCTAAGAATCTTCAAGGATATTCAAGAATAATCATAATTAAGGATTTCATAACAAAACCTACAAAACCAAATATAGTTACTATTAGGATTTAGGTCTTCCTCTCCCTAATCAACTTCTATATAGTGAGAACCGATGGCTCATGCCACTCTCTAACTCTACTATTAATAGAGGTAGGGTTTTCTGAATAGGAGAGAAAACCTAACCCATTACAATAATCTTTTGAACATCCTCATCAAGTAGCCCACTTTTACATTCCAAGCTTTACACCTATTCATATCACACCATATAAAACTGAAATAAAATCTAGGTCCACTTGGATCACATTACTTTATTGTGCTTTACCGGTTTTTCCTTTGACCCAATTTTGAAAACCAAATACAATTAGCGACAGTCCACGTAAAAATTTTCAACATTTGATTTTAAAAGTTATGATTTTTTTTTCTTTAATTAAGTTCTTTCTTGCATAAAAGGTAAGAATAATGTCAAATTAAATAAAATTTCATAAAATTCATTTAATTTTTAATAATATTAAGAAAAAAAATCTACATTAATATCTATAAAATTTCAACCTATAAAATGGTTACCTTTTTTTTAGACTTGTGGCAAATAATAGCTTGAACGCTTGAAAAAAAATAAGCATTTGAAGTCTTTCGGTTAATTAACCACTAGTTTCTGATCACTTTTACCTTTAAGTCCTCTGATATATATATATATATATTAGCAAATAAAATATTATCCAAGAGTTACAAGGGAAATCCTCTCTTATATTATTAAGATTACTTTGTTATGTTGGACAATATGCAAATAAGACCTCTTTAATAATTTGTATTGAAAAATAAAACCCTAATAAAACTATATAAAAGCAAATCCGTCCTTAATGTCGTTAAAACACACACTAATGTGCTTATACTTTTAATGAAGTGGCAAATTGATTTCAACTTCATGTTGCATGCACGACCTTCTTTCATTATTTCTATCTTAACTATTTATAAGAAATTAGTCCATTATATTTTGAAGGGCAATAAGTAATAAACAGGCCTGTGTAAGGACGAGGGATTTTTTTTTTTTTTCTTTTAGCAATTAAGGTGTCCCTGAATAGTTTTTACATACCTTGAGACAATCTTTCTCTAGATTGATAAAAGGCAAGCCATTTACATTGGGATTAAGGAATTCATAAAAAATTACATTTTCATTGAAGTCTCCAATGAATCGAGTCTTATTCACTAAGGTAAGAAGGCAACTCCTTTATCAACAAAGTCACAACTTTTTGGGTGAGTGCAAAAGCATTTCTTGTACCCTGTTCTTAGATCAAAGTAATAATAAAAATTTATTTGCATTTCAAAAAATAAATAAATAAAGGCAATAAAAAATTTTAATTACACAATTGCTCTTTGCTTGCTTAATTATGCAATTGTCCAAAGTTTAGGCTATAAAATAATACGGTAGCCAGTAAATCTCTCTCACCGCCGGCACCATGAGGATTTCCTAGCTTCTGTTGTTTGAGGTTTCATTTGAAAATACTTCTTAGTGCTTTAACTTTTTTTTTTTAAATCTTTTTATAATCTTAAAAATATATAAAATATTAATTATAATAAATATTAAATAAATTAAATATATTTTATATATTTTTTAGATTGAATAATTATTAGTACACCATTTAATTTATCACATCTTTTGACTTTTTTTTTAATTTAATTATTAAAATATAATATAAATATAATCAATTCAATCAATTTTTACATGTTATATATATAGTTACATTTTTAAGTTCATTTACCTTTAATTTTAGATAAAAAAATAATAACTTATTAAAAAATATATTGTATAACATGTTAAATAAAAAATTATATCGATCAATGTCTTTTTAAGTTATTAAAAAACTAAAAAAAAAAACCTACAACTACAATTATAACCCAGCATTATCGAATGAAACTTAGGTCTCGTGCATTGGATAAGTTTTCTAATAGGAATCGCACAAAGTACTCAAATGTGACTAAGTAATTACTCCTGTTCCAAAATCGTCTCATTTTGAATTTGAATTTGTTTTAAACTAATTATTATTTGTTATTTTATAATGTTACAAATATATTATTTGTATTTTAACTTTATTATTATCAATTTATTTTAATTATTTTAATTAATTATTCAATCATAAAAAATCTTTTTTCATTTTTTATTTTTTTAAAATATATTATAAATAAATATATAAATTATTTTTAAATTCTTAATTTTTTTTAAAAAATCATAAAACAACACTTATTTTTGCCTCATAAGGGAGAAGAAATCACGATTAGAATTTTGAGGTCCCATCCATCTAATCTATTTTGGCCCCGATGCCAGTGAAGGGGTGAGGCCTTCAATTAGCTTTACTGCTCTATGCAACATGGGCGTAGCACTAGGTTGCAGGGCTTCCGTTAAAACTTAAAACTTATATGTTTAATTTTCAAACGTAGATGCTATGCTGTTTTCTTGTCCATTTTTTTATTGGAAAAGAATTTTACAAAAGAGATATTTCTTTTATCTTAAAATAATAATTATTTTTAAAATTTTTTTAA